CCTACTCGCCGCTCCTACTCACTGTACAAGCACCCTTGTTTGAACCACGATCCATCTACAGTCTGTTTGGCATCTCAACTGCACATTCTCTAAAAGTTTGGATGCCATCTTGCTTCGGTATTTAGATTGCTATCTCATTCACAGGACACACACCCACGCCTCACACAAGGGGCGTGGAAGAATAATACAAGTCCGTGAGCTGCAGCTAAAAACAAGCGTATGCTCAAAGCGCTCCTTTCTTTAAGATATTGCATACTACGACTGCCTAACTGATTTTGGCTGGGGATCTGTTCGGACAAAACGATGTTCGAGACGTCAGTTCTTTCTAAAAAAAACGTTTCTTTTTTTTAATGCCCAGTCCAAGTTTACGGCATCGCTGCTCGAGCTCCGCGGCGCTCCATCAGTCCGCCACCTGGCCCGGTGGCCAAACGTCTCCAACCCGCGGGGCCGACCAAACAGCCTGGCCCTGACCGACCTGCTGCCTGCCGAATCGCTGCGTACGGCGCCGCGGCCCGCGCCGCACGTGGCGGGCCAGGTCTGTGGTGGGGTGGAGGTTGGTGGTGGGGTGTGTTCCGGTCCCGTTGGGCCCCGGTGGCCCGGCGTCTTCGGGGGGGGTGGGTTCTCTGGGGTGGACCGGGGGTGGGCTGCACCAGCGACCCACCTCGCGCTTTCCTCAGATGGGACCAGGGGCCTCGCCCGCCCTCCTGCCGCCAAGAATTTTAAGCCCGCGTCACCCACATGTCTCCCCCAGGGCCTCCTCCGTCCACCGCCCGAATCTCTCCTGTCGAACAAGCGCCTGGGGGTGTTGGTGTGTTGCCTTGATGTCGCGTCTCTTGGCGTGCGTGTGGTTGGTGTGCGGGGGGGGTTTCTCTTTCCTCCTCCACCTCTCCACCTCCTCCCTGTATCGGGGAGGTTCCCCTCTTCCTCCTCACCTCCTCCACTCCTCCGGTGCTATCGGCGAGGGTTCCCATCTTCCTCCTGCCTTCCTCCTCCTCACCACGCCTCTCAGACTGGCACCTCTGCCGGTTTGTGCACCTCCATCCCCTCCTCCCTACGCTAACGACATTTATCGGATGTTCTTTATTCTTCAGGAGTAAAGCTTCTGTGGTGTGGTAACTCATCAGGCGATGCTGGGGTGTGTACAACATGAGAAATTATTTCAGGGCATTATTGGGGATCGGAAGATAGAGCGTTGAAATAAACATTTCAGAGGTTCCTTTTATACTTTTTGGGGGTTTTCCGCTTTCCTGTTGGATGTATATGTTTTTAGGGTTTTTGTGCATGTATAATGGTCTTGCCTAAACGCTGAAATACCAAAGTTCCCTCCATTGGACTCCTTTATTGTACTTCTCTAACATAGTGACATCACTAACGCAACATTCACGCTCCTTTGGCTAGCCCACTCCAACATATTGTACGCTGAAAGGCAAGGTATGGGCAGGACATATCTAAGCGGTTGACCAATCACAACAGAGGCGGCCAGCTAACCAATCAGAGCAGACTGGGCTCTGGTTTCAGACAGAGGGTGAAAAGAGATGCTGCAGCACAGGCAGTATGAGAAGAATAAAGAGCTTTTTGAACATTAAAGTACGGAGACATGTCACAGTAGAGGCACTACATACATAAACCTGAATATAAGCATGATAGGGCCCCTTTGATGCAACCTCTGGAAAAAAGTCCAAACGCATTGAAAAAGCTTAAGGTTTACATGTAGAGACAAATAACTGGAACAAAGAGCAATAGCAGTATGTTAAACAAGTGACTTAATAAGATTGAGTCATGAGTACATGATCAGTTGGTCAGAAAGTATCGGAGTCTTGTGCTGATATGTACCTGTCGGAGGCAGCCACACACAATAATCCGGGTCGTCCTCCGGATACTTTTCAGAGAGCTGCTTCGGTGGCTGCGGGGAGAAAAACCATGAGAATGATAACACTTCTACGTCACACTCTTACTATTAGAAATATGTGTTGTCATGTGTGATGACCCACCCTGCTGGGGCCCATCACTTTCTTCTTCACGTTCTTCCTGGGGCTGGGCTGTGCCGCTGGCTCTCCATCACTTCCTGTTCCCATAGAGATGGAGGTAAAGCCCATTAGAGAGGAAGCAATAAAACACAATAACCAGCATTGGAGACTAATAGGGAAAGAAGAAAACACAGTGTCCACCTGGACTCGTTGGGGTCTCAGCCTGAGGACCCTTCTTCTCCACTTCATCACACTCCTCACTCTTCCTCGGTTTGCGGCCTGGCTCTATTATTAATTGGTAAAAGCAATAATTAAAGAGTGATTATTAATACAGGAACAATGTTTAAAACCACACTAATTTTTCTTTATATAACTCTAAAATAAAACATCAACAGTAGTGGAATGTAACAAATTACATTTTGAAGTACTTCTACTTTACCTGAGTATTTTTTTTAATTGTATACTTCTATTTCACTACATTTTGGAACACAATATGTACTTTCTACTCCATTACATTATCTGACAGCTGTAATATCTTTACAGATTCAGATAATCAGCTCATAAAAAATATAAATCCATAAATAATCTATCACACATAACGAGTACTTTTAACTTTAGTGCTTTTTGATGCAAATACTTTGGTACTTTTGAAAGCAGGACTTTAACTTGAATGTTTTTAAAACGTAGTATTGCTTCTTTAACTTAATAAAAAAATCAAAGTACTTCTTTAACCTAGGTTCAACAGCATGCTATTCACATATGTAACACATACTGCCCCCTAGTGGTGCACACAAAAAGTACTACTACTACTACGAAGAAGAAGCATTTACAAAACCTAAACTAAAGAATCCTCTTTAAATATACCTACTTAAAAATTCCTCCAAATTTTAAGGCTTTTTACCTTTGGGCTCTTGTGACCTCCGTTTCTGCGTCTTCTGTAGAGACGTGGATGCTTCAGACTCTTCATCATTATTCTCAGACTTAGTTTCACCCTCTTGATCATCATTATCCTCGTTTTTCTCTGCTTCCTCCTCCTCCTTTTCTTCCTCTTCCTCCTCTCCACTGGGTGGAAGTTCTTTCATGTTGAAGAGCTCTGCGGGTAAGTTGGGGCGCTTCGGAGGCAACTTCTACATGAGAGGAGGAAACATCAGTAGGAGAAAGAAGCTGAGTAAAAAGACGGCAAAGAAAGGGTTTTTTTAGAGACATGAAAGATGCCGAACAACACGCACCCCGATGGTCCCAGTCTTCAGTCGGAACTTGCTTCCTCCCTTCATGGCTCCGAACAGCGGTAAGGACTTTTTAGGCTTCTCTGGCTCTGAGCTTCCACTGTGACAAACACACATCAAAATACCTTTTGAACATTTTAATGTGGCTTGAGTTATATTTTTTTTATGAATTTCATGTTAACTCTAGGGAATTTACCCCAAAAATGATATGAATGAAATTCCTCCACTTTAAAGGGATAGTTTGGATGTTTTAAAGCAGGTTGTGTAAGAGGTACTCGCCACATCAATGTATCGTAGATGCTCCCACTTCGTAAGAATAGGCAGAAGCACAGAAGCTTTAACCACTTTTTAAAACAAGCCCACTAAAAAAAAAATCGATTTGAGTTAGAGTTACTTTTAAACAATATAGGTGTACGCTAAAATTTGAATATTTTCACCCTTTTATCTCGCTGTTAAACAATCCTCTCTGGAGGGGATCTGAAGCGTTTATCTGTGCTTCCTTCAAAGCAAGCCACCGAACTACATTCACAAAACCCACATCGTACTTCACTGAACACAGAAGTTGTTGGTTTACTCTGGCCTGGAATAGATAGCCCGTCTGTGTTATTGTTGGGAATGTGTGTTTCATAGGGTGATTCACAGAAACAACACAACCAAAGTCACCCATAAAGGCAACGACAGACAACTTGTGTGAGTTGAATACGGTCAAATGACAGTTTTTCTCAATGGAGGCTGGTGGCTTTGAAGAGAGTTGTAAGGTATTCAGTTTTCTGGCTGAAGGGGACACTGAATGCCAGGTAAAGCAGCTCAAATATTGAAAATAACGCGATGACTTAAACTGAGATTGATTTCTTTTAGGTGGCTAAAACATATCTTTAGGAAGGATGTGCTGACACTATCAAACTCTGGGTGTATTCTACAGTTCTCAGGAGTATGACATTGAACGCAGCACTGTGTCTGACCCTGGGAGCAGTGAAGGCATCTGAGCGGGCCGCGTCAGCTCCACCAGTTTGCGGAGCCTCTGAACCTCTTTGCGTAAATCGGCCGAGTGCACATGAAGCTTCCTGCGCTCCACGGCGTCCATGGCAACCTCGCTCCTCACCGCCGTCATGAAGGCGTCCAGAGGGTCGTCAGAGGAGGGGCCGGAGGAGTCTNGGGGGATGGGGGAGAGACATACAGTAAGGCATTGTGGGATCAGTACACAGAAGAGTGATTACTCAGGCCGTCAGGACTCACCTCCTTTCCCTCCACTCAGCTTCCTCTGAGTCTCCGCCAGCTCCTTCTCCACCTCTGACAGTTTGGACACCTACAAGGAAATCAAATACATGACCGTTTTTACCGAAACATACATTACATATTACATATTGAGTACTTCCTAAGAAAAAAGTGAAATCCTTTTCTATTAATAAAATAAAGAGCCCCTTCCTAAACCCTTTAGTGGCCACCAGCATTTAAGCATGTATTGACATTATTCTGACTGAGAGGCGATAAAGTGTGGTTTATAAGGTTTGTGATTTTTATAGCGTGTAAATACTGTAGTATGAAAAAACAGACAGATTCCACGATATCTGAAGAAATTCATAATTAGCGGTTTTAGTAGCATGTGAAAGACCCAGAAATACTGACCAATCAGAACCATTGGGCTTCTTCTAAAGGGGAACTTAAAATGACAGGCGATATTGGTATGAGAAACGTTTTTTTCAACATCTCAAAAGGTTTACACATATACCAGTAGAAAATAAAATGTTACTTTTTAAAAAAAATGTTTGTTTGTTCCATAATTTGGCTTTTCTTTTTAAATCATTTTGTGACATTCTCACTGAAGAGACTTGCAATTATTTGCCCTAGACTTCTGCTTTCAGATGTAGTTCATTATGAAGTTATTACCTTATCCGATAATAATCCAATGCAGAGGCAATAATGTAATATAATACATTATTTTATATATATTAAATATGTATATATGTATTTCTATAGTCTTAAAGTTACAGCCGGCCCTTTGAGTGAAACCATAATGTTAATGTTGCCCGTGATGAAATTGAGTTTGACACCCCTGGTATAGAGACACAAAGTGATCTATACATTGTATGTCAAATAGAGTATGCCAAAAATATCTGGATGTCCTACTACCACACATTTGAGGAATAGCTTGCATTTGTCAGGGCTGTTGTGACCCACAATCCCTTGCGTAACAGATTTATCATTAAAAGGAACAAAGAAATAGTATGTTATTAGGACTGAGCCTTTTTCTTCTCCATATCAGCACTCTGTCATACTTGTCAATGCGAGTGTCCAACATACTGATGTGCGGGATTAGCTCCAAGCAAACACATGTAATAAAGGAAACAGTGAATACTATAAGGTGATTATTAAAGAATTATGGATCAGAATACAGTAATAATCACAGGTTTTGTAAACATGAACAGTAGGCAGATTATTTACCAATGATTCGTAGGTCTCAGGCCGCTCATCCACCTTCCCCGCCTTCTTCATCCTCTCGTTCCTCTTCTTCTCCACAGTGCCGGTCCGATCCAGGAAGTTGTCATCGTCGCTGTCGTAGAAGTCCTCGTCCTCCCAGTTCTTCTTCTTGCGCTTACGAGACACTAGAAAGAGTATTTTTAAACAAACTGTTAATGCAGTCCTTCGTATTATTAATTACATTTTTGACACGTTCCCTCTGGAGTTCCCACCTGCTTCCTGTCGCAGCAGCCCTCTGGCCTCCAGCATCCGACAGGCGTCCAGGCAACACTGGATGGCTGCGTCCTTCTTCTTCCCTGTGTGGGTCACCTCGGCAACCAGCTGTCGGCCCATGGCGTCGTCCACCGGGAGCCTGATGAAAACATTAATGTTTGACTCTACAGACTTTCTGACGACATGGAAATATGTTTTTTAAACTCTGCAAACGTCACTCACTGTATTCTGCAGAGCCAGCTGCCATGGCTTTGGTCTTCATACTCAAACTCCAGCTCCTCTCCTAAGACAAAGCACGTTAAAGTCAGGAAACACAAGAAACAGAAAGAACGGATGTCTGTGGATTAACGGTAAATCTCGTCACCCTCTCTGTCGTAGAAGCCCTGCAGAGCCTTCTTTGGGTCTTTCAGGTACGCGGCCTCCTGATCCTCCTGGAACTCGGTTGAAAACGGGTTTTCCTCGTTCTCGTCTTCCTCCGGAGCAGCTTCTTCACCTGCAGCGTGGATTTAAAGAGACAGATGGAATGAAAGGAAAGTGGAACAACAAGGATTAAGGTGCTTCTGAAGAGAAAGTTGGCAAAACAAGAGAAATGTCAACACAGATGACATATAAGCTCACCCATTCCCCAAGAACAGCCCGACTCATCGTTTGACGGTTTGCCTGGGACCTTGCTGCCTTCAGATTGCCCGTCTTCCTCCTTCTCATCATCATCATCGGACCCGTCTCCTGTCATCCTCTTCTCCAGCTCTTCCCTCCGTTTCCGGCCTCTCTCCCTCAGCTCGGTCACCGTTAGCTCGGATTCCTTTTCCTCATCAAACTCTGGACCCTGTGGAACAAGGGAAGAGGGGGAAAGCACACATTACTCCATGCATTCCTACATAACCCACAACGCACCTCACCATCAATAGTTCAGTCAGAGATTTAGGTGTGTTATGCTAGTAGTAACTAATGTAGGCCAAGGCAAACTTGTTGTTGTTCAAAAACCCAACCAACGCGGACTCAAGTGACATCACACACATTTCACACACCTCCAAATGGAGTCAAAAAAGGCTTTGAAAAAATGTCACGTATGCATTCAAACTCTACTAGAGAGAATAATATTTGTATTCAATATAATGTTCTGATATTTTTTATTTAGTAATGTCGTTGGGTTTTATTCAAAAGTTTAATTTTTTCAGTAAAAGAACATTTTTAATTATTTCCATTCCATTTCTATTTGTAAAAATACTTCATAAATACTTTAGATATGAATGTTTTTTCTTATTTTTGCATATTTATTTGATTCTAAGTTTGTTTGCGCTTGTGTATGTAGTAGACAATTATTTAAAATAAAAGCAAACAATCCTATATTTAGTTAATTTATTTTATTTTATGATTTTATTTTAATAGCCGGTACCTAGCTTGTAGTAAAGTGTAGAGTGACCCATCCCAAAGCTTTTAATGTAATCTTTCACATGTCAGTATATAAATATGGGGGGTCAGCATCTGGATTTACCTGCAGGATGAAAAGCCTCGTGCTCCCACCAAACTTTAACACATGTCCCACACGGATCCTGATGAAGGTCTTGGGAGGGATCTTGTTCTTGTTGACCACAGTGCCGTGAGTGCTGCCCAGATCATGGACGTAGAAGCCCCTCTCCTCCCCCACAGACTCCCCCTCTCCCTGCTCTCTGCGGTACTGGATGATGGCGTGGTACCTGGAGATGGAGGGATGATCCAGAGGGACGTCACACACAGGTAGACGTCCAACCACGATGTAGCTTTTATCTGTCAGGGGCACCGTGTCAATTATGGTGCCGTTTTTAAGGATTTCCAGAGCATAGGGAGTATCAGGAGCCGTGCCTCCCCAGAGTGGCTCTGTGTATGGGATAGGGGGGAATTTACCAACTGGGGGCCCTTTAGCAGACTGTAGCACCCTTGGCTTCGCTTCTTGCTTGGGTTTGACAGGAGCCACGCTCTTGTCTTTAGCGCATTTCTTCTCCTCTTCTTGGCTCTTTTCGGTGGGTTTGCTGTCAATAACAACACCAGAAGAATATGCACTTTCTGTTTCCACGTCTTTAGCTTCGTTTTCTTCTTTCACGTGTTTTATCTCGACTGCTGCTGGTTTGGACGGAGCTGCGTTACTGCGTTTGATAGTGAGGGAAGGAACTGCGAAGAGAGCCGGTTTTTTAAACGTGTCCTCTTTTTCAGGGTCATTTTTCTTGAAGGTTTTGTTTTCAGGTCCTCCTTTATTCCCTTCGGTCGTGCACTCGTCTGTTTCCATTGTAGAGTGATCCGTATTTTCCAAACACACGTCTGACGGCGGGGAGGCGGCCATGTTTATTTGGTGCGACTGTAAAATGTGCCCGGCTTTTTTCCGGAGACTCCATAAAACCGCTTATAAACAGTATTTTACAAAACACTAATGTAAATAAATCATTTAAAACACAAATACATGGAATTTCAAATGAATCTATTATTTTATGCCTGTCACAACAAATGTTTGTGGCGGAACTAAACTTCTTGTTCATATGTTCACCCGAGTTTTTTGCAAAAAGCACGGACATACTTCTTTCCTGTGCAACTTCCTTCAAAGACACAACAGCCATTGGTTTCAAATATTAACCACCGTGTCATTCATTCCTGTGTAATGTGAGTTGATGTTGCATTTTTTATTTATAGAATTTAGGTAGATAAACATGCGAACTGAGCTAGCTAGCCTGTAGCCTTCTCGTTGCTCCTATATGAATGCGTTACTTGCTGCTCTATTGTTTGCTGCTGTACCAAACTCCTGTCACACACCTGACGTTCTTTGTTGTTCTGCTATAGCGAAATAATATTCCTGTAAAAAGTTGAATGTAATGCATACGCAAATCAATGCGTGTGCGAATACTTGACTATTCGTCAAATACAAAGTCTTGAGTTTCCAGATACATTCTTTTACCATAAACAATGCATCGCCGGCTCTTGTCTTCATAGTGTCTTTTTAATCAAAAAGCAGTGTGAACCGGTTATACTTGTTATTGAGTAAGTGAAAGATGATCACAACATAAGCTCCAATGTTGTTACAGGTCTGAAAACATGGTCTATAAGTTGTGATCCCTATTCACTTCACAATACATTTGGCGGCTATTGACTACTAGTATTTAGCGTGTTTACCTTTTGTTATGTTTAGTTGACAATCTATATGGGCAAAAACCACAGCTACGAAAAGTGATGGATTAGATGTTAACTATTCAATTAACAACTATGTTGGTAATCAGTTTGAGAAGATGTTTAAATTTGGCTTCTTTAATGTGAAATATTTCTGGTCTCTTTCATTTTCTATGACACGCAAACTGAATGCAATTGAGTTGTTCACTAAACAAGACATTTGACAAAGTTATCTTGGGCTCTGAAACACTGGTCAATATTTTTCAGACGAAGAACTAATCGAAAAATGAATTGAGAAAATAATCAACAGATTAAATGACTGTTAATGAATGTTGGTTGCAACCCAAGCAAAAACACATTTTAAAAAGCCCAAAAGAGTTGTAATTAATTATTTAATTGAAGGTGTATCCAAATATCCCAATCAGTGCTTCTTCTGTTTTCATCTGATGTTTTTATACCAACTTTAGCCTTTATTGTGATTGTCACCTTTCTAATTTTCAGATTCAATTCCAGTTTGGATTTCTCCAGCTTTGATCCCCGATCATGATGCGTTACTGGGGCGAGATCCCCGGGCCAGCGGGGGCTCCTCCCAGCCGCAGCTCCTTCGACCTGCTCCAGCGTGAGTTCCGCTCAGTGGAGATGCAGGACCCCCCCCTGCACCAGCCCTCGGCCCAGCGCCCCCGCCCCACCACGATGCTGGACATCCCCTCAGAGCCCTGCAGCCTCACCATCCACACCGTGCAGCTGTGTCAGCACACCCGCCGCCTCCGGGGCCTCCTGTCTGCAGCCCAGGCCCAGGGTCAGGGCTCAGCGACCTCTGAGGGCGGAAGCAAGCTGGAGGAGGCTGACACCAACCTGCCGCTGCGGCCTCCCACCCCCCCCAACATGCCCGATGACCTGCTACCTGCAGACAGCAAAGCCCCGCGGCAGCCCTTCCTGCTCCGACACAGTGACCCTGAGAGTGACTTCTACAAGTGAGTTCATTAAGCATATAAATTGTAGACTAAAAAGTCACTTAAAGGTGGGGTAGGTAATTTTGGAGAAAACAGCTCGAGTGCGCAAGAATTTGAAAATACACAACCGGAACAAATGTGCCACTTCCTTACAGAGCCCCTCCTCCAACACACACAAACGCGCACATGACCAATGAGGGCACGAGATAAGTTTGTGCACAGATGGAAGGCTGACAGGCAGGTAGGCCATCCAGTTATTTTAGCCGGGCCGGCTCAGATGATTGGTCGTGCTTTTTACAGTACTACGGCTTCCACAGATAACATTTTTTAATGGATTTTTTGTCAAAGCACTTCAGATATTCATTGCTATCGGGATGTTAAGAGCATTCCATGGAATATAACAAAAAGTGTATCTCGAGCCGGTTTCTCAAACTTACCTACCCCACCTTTAAAGGTTAAGATCTTTTAACCTTTCTTTTACTTTTTTTTTTTTACATATTTATCAACATTTGAGGGATATGACCTCATACAGTAAATGCTGGGTGATTTGGCCATAATGTTTTATTTCTATATAGAGCTAATTTTCATTAAAGATTGTATTATAAATGTCAATTGACAGCATTATAATAGTAACCCACTTTGACAATAGATTATTGTTGAAGTATTTTTAAGGCAAACATGTGGTACCTGCTTGTGAATATCACTTTAAACAAATGTATTGTATATGTTTTATTATGATTTCATCAGAACATGTATCCATAGATATTAAAAAATCCTTAGATAGTCTCTAAAGGCATATAGTTGAAATACATTTAAAAAAAATGGTTTTGGTCTTATGGTTTTGAAAGGTAATATAATTTTCCTGTAGGCACCCTGATTGAAACACAATAAATGATGATAATGAATTATCGACCGGCCGTTCCAAAATTCATCAACCACTCATCGTCTATCCCCTTTCCTCTCTTGGTTCCCTCCCTCCTAAGGGGTAAAGGTGAGCCGGTCACAGAGCTCAGCTGGCCCTCCTGCAGGCAGCTGCTCTATCAGTCCGTGGCCACCATCTTGGCCCACGCCGGCTTCGAGTCGGCTCAGGAGAGCGTGCTGGAGACCCTCACCGACCTGGTCCATGAGCATTACCTGCGCCTCTCCAGGAAGCTGCGGGTGGCGGTGGACCGCGAGGCACGGCTGGGGGCCAGTCCCTTCCCCGACGTGGTGGAGCAGGTGTTCCACGAGGTGGGCATCGGCAGCGTGCTGGCCCTGCAGCACTTCTGGCAAGTGAGGATCAAAGACTACCACAGCTACATGCTGCAGGT